AAGGGTCTCAGGTTGGATCAAGGGAGAAATTATTGAGATCTTGGGGTTGCGATCTTGGGAATGAAAAAATGTTGGTATGTAGCTTGGATTCTTTTGGTGGGATTTGTTGAGGTGGTATGTAGTTATGATTGTTGTTATTGAATGAGTGTAAGGGTGATGTTGAGATGGGGTAAAAAATGAAGATGGGTATATGAATATGTGTTTTTTGGTGTTGGATTGGTTGGGTGATTGAATTTGAATGTTGAAAATAGGCTGTTTTAGTGGGTGTATTTGAATTGTGCCCAAAAGTGTGGGGGGGGACCCTAGGACCGGATGGCAAAATGCGGACGGGAGAGGCCACCACTAACTCTTACGCCCTGCAGTCTACCGTCGACACTTCCTCGGTGGTGGACTCTAAGATAGCAGCGGCCCTCCTGGACGTCGTCACCGCGGCAGCCCTGGACGCGGCCCTCCTCGGCAAGGCGGACGCAAGCGCGCTGGCCGCCCTGCTCTCCACGGTGGACGGACTGGACACTCCACTGGAGGTAGACACCAAGATAGCAAATGCGCTGCTGGGCCTCGCCACCGAGGCCTTCGTCGCAGCGCAGCTTGTTAGCCGGGACGTCAGCATCACGGCGCTCCAGGCCTCCAAGGCCGACACGGCGCTGCTGGCCTCATACGCCACGAACGCCGCGCTCTCAGCCAGCGAGACCACGCTCCAGAGCGCCCTCGACGCAATCCTCGCGGAGCTCGCCGCCCTGCAGCTTTCCGGCGGCGGAGTTGTTAACGCGCCGGCCTGGGCGGGCTTCACGAGTTGGGAGCTCGTTCGTGGAAGTAACGTCGTTCGCAACGGCGACGACACGCTGAGCATCACGGCAGACTGCTACTCCACGGCGGGCACTGACGCTGCCATAACAGCAGCCTTGCTGGCCTACTACACCTTTTCACAAGGTGGGAGGCGTTTTTGTTGGAGGGCTACGCCATGACCCTGAGCGCCTTCGCCTGGAACATCGTGCGCACCTACACGCTGACGCCGGGGAGACGCTACTCCTTCGGCTGCCGGTACCGGCTGGGCACGGCCTCCAACTTGGTGATGTACGTCAGCGCGGCCGACAACGACTACGTGGGCGTCACCGGCACCTTCCTCGGCACGCCCTCGCAGGGCGTTTGGAGCACGGCGCGCCTGGACTTCTCGGTGCCGCCGGGCGGAATTGCGAAGCTGCACTTCGGAGCCTTCGGAGGCTCGATCCCCGGGCTGGTGCAGCAGTCGGCGGGCACGCTGGACCTGTACAGCATGCAGATCAGGGCCTCAGCCTTCGAGGGAGAGTCGGTCTCCGTGACGGACCTGCTGGCGGACTCGCTGGCCCTCACGGGCTCGGCCACGCTGGACGGGCTCACCGCGCAGGGCAACGTGGGCTGCGACCAGCTGCTGTGCAACGACGTGAACTGCACCGACGTTTTCACGACGGGCGTGGACGCCTCGGGCGCAGTCTCCTGCGCTGCGCTCACAGCCACAGGCACCGTCGCCGGGGCCACGCTGACGTCCACTGGGGCCGTGTCAGGCAGCTCGCTGAGCATCAGCGGCGCGGCCAGCGTGGGCCTGCTGAGCTCCGCCACGGAATCACGGGCAGCACACTCACCATCAACAACACGGCCAACGCCGGGAACTTCACCACGGCGGGCGACGTGTCCACGGGGACATTGACGGCCTCGGGCGCGGCGACGGCGGCGAGCTTCGCAGCCACCGGGGCGCTCACGGGCGCCACGCTGACCATCACCGGGGCGGCCTCCACGGGCCCGCTGGACTGCGAGAGCCTGGGCTGCACCTTCACGGCCACGAGCGGCGGAGTGTCGACGGGCAGCGTGGTCTGCGGCGACGTGACGAGCTCGGGCACGGTCTCCGCTCCGCAGCTCTTCGCGTCCAACACGCTCACCGTGACCAACACCTCCGACTTCTCGGACGATCTCTTCTTGACGAAGAACTGGGCGGGCTGGAGCAAGCTGCAAGTGTCCAACAACAGCGCGGCCCCCGACAGCGGCCCGGCGCTGCGGCTGCTGGGCAACCAGAGCGCGCGGGTCTTCCTGGAGCGGGACGGCGGGGCGCACCAGTGCGAGCTCATCATGATCAACGACGAGGCGCTGGTGCAGACGAAGAGCCTCTCCACGCAGCTGTCCCTGACACGAACCAGAGGAACCCCGGCTGCCTCGTGATCGCGGGCAACACGGGCAACGTGGTCTGCAACACGAGCTTCACGAATTTGTCGGACAGCCGGGTGAAGACGGAGATGGCCGAGGCCGACGTGGCGGAGCTCCAGCAGCTGTTCGACTCCGTGGAGGCCAAGCAGTACAAGCGCCCGGACATGAACGGCGACCTGAGGCTGGGCTTCGCCTCAAACGACTTCGCAGGAGCGAAGTGGAAGAACCTGACGGGCACCGCTCGGTGGAGCGACGGCACCGAGATGATCACCCTCGACTACTCTCACCTCAGGGCTTCCAGGCCCGGCTGGACGAGGTGGAAGCCTGGCAGGCCCAGCGAGGGCCGAAGAACGAGTAGTGTGAGCAGGCCTCCCTGCGTCCAGGGACGCTAGCGCAAGCTCCTTTTTGGGGCAAGAAGTAGGTGTGTGCAGGCCTCCCTGCATCCAGGGAACCTTGAACAAGCTCCTTTTTGGGGCAACAAAGCTGTTTTTTAAATGGAGGCGCTGAGGGACCTGGCCGACGACTTCAACGTGAGGGACCCGCGGAAGCTGTACCGACTCGCGAGGCAGCGCGACCTCGACGTGACGCAGGCCATGGCCTTCGAGGCGCTGAAGGCCGACGTGGGCCGGCAGGTGCAGGCGCCCCGGCCGCGCGCGCTGGGCAAGTCGGCCGCCGAGGGGCCGAACGACCGGCTGCAGGCCGACCTCATCGACTTCAGCCAGAACACGCGGGGGAAGACGAAGTACGGCCTGGTGGTGATGACGTCTTCACCCGGGAGGCCGCCGTGGAACCTCTGCAGAACAAGAACGCCGAGACGGTGGGCCGCGCCACCAAGCGCGCCGCGCGGGAGCTGACGGGGGACGACGGGAACTTCGTGGTCACGACAGACCTGGGCAACGAGTTCGCCACGCTGGACAGGGAGCTGCCCGAAAATGCCGTGCACCGCACGAAGCGGCCCGAGGACCGCAACGCCATTGCCGTGGTGGACCGGGGCATCCAGACGCTGAAGATGGACCTGGCCACGAGGGTGGCGCGCAAGGGCGGGCAGTGGAGCGACCACTTCGAGCGGGCGGCCGGGGCCTACAACGCGCGGCCCCACGAGACGGTGCACGGCGCGCCCGAGGACGTGGAGAAGCAGCCGGCCACGGAGTTCAGGGTCCTGCAAGACAACGCCGACAAGTTCCAGCACAACAAGGACCTCACCGACCGGCGCGTGAAGGCGGTGGAGGACGCGGGCGCCTTCCGAGCGCCGACGAACGGGCGAGGAGCTTCAACTCAGTACGGCGACGTGCAGCGGCTGGGGGCCGTGGACTCCATGACCGTCCGCAGCACGGAGGGCCGCGAGACCCTGCTGAAGCTGGCGCTGCCGGCGCCGCCGGGCAGCGGCAACGCGGCGGGCCGGCTGACGAGACGGGGCAGGCCGGCGGCTGTGAGGCAGCTGGACGACTTCCTGGCGCCTCCGAGGCCCAGGACCCTCGACTGATTACGGCTACTTTGGACCAAGCTGGAAACTTTGCATAAAGCGCTGGAAACTTGTAGTACTTTGAGTCATGTTTTTTTGGGGTGTAGAGGCAACCCTAGCAAAATCCTGATTTTCCTGAGTTTGCCCCTGCACGCAAGCCACCTTCAAAACATTTGGTTGGAGTGGAGGCAAGGTTGAAGGTTGACAAAAAAAAGACAAGTCTGCACGAGCACCCCAAGTCTCTCGGACGACGTCAGTAAACCCTTTTTTTTGAAAAAAAACAGCTTTGAGGCGTTCTTCAAGGTGAGGGGAATTCCCGGAGCCTGAGAAAGCCCTTTTTTGGGTTAGGGTTTGGGGTGCTCGGGAAACCAACGGGTTGGGCGAACCAATCAAATGAGCGGGGGCTGGCATGGGCAAACCGTGCAAACCCGTGCAAAAAATGCTATTCCTCCAGGCCCTACATAAATGTAGGCCCTGTAAGAATAGCATTTTGTGGCGCAAAAACCGTGCAAAAAAGCTATTAGTCCAGGCCGTACATACATGTACACCCTGTAAGAATAGCATTTTTGTTGCGCAAAACCGTGCAAAAACGAGCTATTCCTCCAGGCCGTATATGAATATACACCCTGTAAGAATAGCATTTCGTGGCGCAAAACGGTGCAAATGTCCCTTTAGGGTTTGGGGTCCTCGGCAAACCAAACGGGTTGGGCGGACCAGTATCAAACCCCAAACGTGTTTCTGAGCAGGTCCTCAGAAAAAAATCCGGCACCTCTCCAACTGACCGTGATCGGGCCTCCAAGCACTTGCCCGGGCATGCCTGGGAGACTGAGCCGTGAGAAAGGAAAATGCATGGTGTATGACCGTATGATCCGTATGATCCGTATGATCCGTATGATCCGTATGATCCGTATGACTCAGCTGAAGCTTCAATACCAGGCTTGTCAAGTCATACGGATCATACAGATCATACGGTCATACGGTCTCACGCACTTTCGACAGTGCTCAAAGACGGAGTGCTTTTGGGTTTTTTTGGGCCGCTTCCAACGAAAAAAACAGTGTCCAGGGCGGGCCCCTGCCTGGCACAGGCCGAGGGATCATACGCGCCGTTTGGTGCTGGAGCGCTACCGGCAACACGCAAGCTTGTAAAAAAATGCAAAAACGTTTCAAAATCAATCAACTGGACAGGATTCATACGGGCAATCGCATGGCTCTTCTTTTGCACACACGACACTGTGCCTGTGCGCACGGCCAATCGCCGTGATGAGAGATCATTGCCGTGCTGGGAGCTCGTCGGATACACGGGGCACGGGCTGTACTGCCGCGCCCACTCTTTGCACGTACCCCCTGCACAGAAGTTGAGAAGCTACGCCGACACGACAAGTGTCATGATTTGGCGCGGCGACGGCCTCACGTAGACCCGCGCGGAGGTCCTGGTCCGGGCTCCGAATCGGGGGATGACCTCCCCCTCCCTCCGCATCAAGATCTTCTTGAGCTCGTCCCTCACCGCAGTGGGGCTCACACACAGCTGGTCGGCGATGTACGAGTCGACCTCCTGGGACGTGGCGGGCCTTGTCTCGGAGAGGACGTAGGGCTGCAGGTAGCGCCGCACTAGCTCCGAGGCCTCTGGCATGCTGGATGGTTGAGCAGTGCTCTGGGCGGTCCTCTCCGTGATGTCCTGTTTCAGAGAGATTGAGCTCGCGGGGATTGGGATGGTGTTGTTGCTGCTTCCCCCGGGATGCGCGCCAGCCAGAATACCCGCGCCACCCACCAGAACTCCGCGAACATCTCAGGGATGTTCTGCTTGACGCTGTTGTCCTTCAGGAGCTCGTGGGGGCGTGTCGGGTTGTCCACAAAGTTGTGCTCGAACTTGACGCCCGTGATGCGTCTCCTGTCGGAGCCAAAGAACTCGGCATCGGCCTGCCACACGCCGTTGGTGCAGAGCAGCAAGAGCCCGTGGAAGCTGAAAATGTTCTCTCCCCGGCCCTTCCGCGCAGCCGTCAAGGTGTTCCCTCCGGAGATCTGCCGCAAAACAGCACCGCACAGAGGCTGATTCGGCGCGAAGTCGTCGACCCACGCGAACCTGCTGCCCTGTAGGTTTGCGAACTGTTCGCGGGGCCGCTCCTGTTTCCCGACAGTGAGGGCCTCCTGGCAAAGGACTGCGCAGTACCCGCGCTCCACCCCGCCGTTGTGCACGCCGAGCGCCTTCTCGCAGAGTTCCCTCAAGGTTCCCTTGCCCGTCGAGCCGTCTCCGTTGTCCTTGAGCGTCGCAAACTCGATCTTCTTCGCGGCCTTGCCCACCACGCTCTCGAAGATGAGCCTGGCTTGAAACAGCGCCACGTTCCAGTCGCCGCCGTGCGGGTCGCGAAAGATGCTGCGCCACATTGCGTGCCCCATGGACGCCGCTTCCAGCTCCTCGACAATGTCCTCGGGGAGGACCATGACGCCATCCCGACAGTCGCCGCCCTCCGTCAACCAGGCCATGGCCTTCAGAATGGCCCGAGCCAAGCGGAGCCTATCCGGATGCTGGTACTCCAAGAACTGGCGCGGGACGGACCTTGTGTTGCGGTCGGCCGTCACGGTCCGCGCCATCGGCAGCTCCATGGCCCTCTGGAGAGCTTTGTCGTCGTCCAAAAAGTCTTGCAGAGGAGGCGGGTGGGCGAGGAAGCTCAGCTTGTCCCCACCCTTGAAGTGGATCTGGAAGCGGTGATGGCGCTCCTGGTCCAGCGGCGGCATGCAGTCGCCGTTGTCCAGCTTGCTCAGCATCGCGCCCACCGAGGAGAGAATCGGGGCCGTATGGAAGAGCATCACGTTGTCCCTCACCTGCAGCCGCCACTTCCCGCTGTCCGGGTCGGGGCGCCACGTCCTGGCACCGTAGGTGGCGATCAGTGCCCGCGCCAGCATCTCCCCCTTGCAGGCCCCGTCGCGCTTGCCTGTGGACCACACGCCGTCCGTTGCGTTGTAGATCTCCATGTGGTCCTGCTGGTGGTCCCATCTCACGGGCACGCGGTGCTCGACGGAGATTGCCAAGTCCAGGTGGGGGGTCGGGCCCTTCTCCTCATCCTTGAGCCAGTCCCGCACCGTGGCCGTTGCGTCCAGGCGCACCCTCTGACGCGCGGAGAGCGCCAGCCGGCTGTGCCTCATGCCGATGCCCTGCAAGGCCTCAAAATACTCCGAGTCGTTGGCCGGCATCGGCTTCACGGTGAAGAAAAGTCCTCGACTCTGCAGATGCCGAACGGTCGCCTCTGCGGAGAAGCCTCCGTCGCTCGATGAGAACAGGAACGAGTCCCCCAGGTAACCGTGAACGACACAGCCGGCGGGAAGCAGCTCAGGCGCTGACCTTTGCTCCCCCGAAAAAAAAAGGAGCGTTGCCGTGCGGGCGCAAAAAAAAGAAAATCGCACATCCCGACGAGGCGCATTCCACAGACAAGGCCGCGAGGATTGGTCGTCGCCTCGTGGCCTTCAGCTCCTTTTTCCAGCCCTCGGGCATGTGATGCCAGACGTGCTCACGCACGCACGTCATAACCCGCTTGAGGTCCCATGCGCCTTCATCCACTCGACCAGGCCGTTGCCGTAGGCGAGCAAGTTCGTCGCTTGCTTGATGTCCTTCGGATGGAGCGGTGGCATGCTCTGCCGGAAAGCGACGATCTGCTCGGTGGACGCAAACGCCTCCAGCGGTCCCGGGGCGATGGAGTGGTCCAGTGCATACCCCAGCATGGCTTGGCAATGGGACGCCGGCATGTCGCACTCCCAGAGGTCCATGCCACCGGGAAGCTGCCCATGGAGCCGATAAGCCGCAAGCAGAGGCCCAGGCTTTTTGCCAGCTTGGATTCGTGGTAGCGGGCCTCCGGCTGTTCGTCCAGCAACTCCAGGTGGTCTGAGAGATTCAGGTTCCCCAGTGGCAACAGCCACGTGTCCTGCATGCCCAGCAGCTCCTTGACGAAGGGCATGTTGATGCGAGGCGCCGTGAGAACCACAGTCGCCTGGTCCGAGGCCGACCCGGGCTCCGCCGGCTCCGCTGGCTCCGCAACGTTCCTATCAGGGCGCGTGAATCATACGAAATCGCACGGACAAGACCCCCTTTCCGCCTGCCACCATCACCCCGGGACGCAGCCCGGCATCGACGCTTCCCTCCGGTTGCGTGGCTCATTGTCCTGGCACTAAGCATCACATGTGTATGACCGTACGTTCCGTGCGACTCGCGCCTTGGCGGCGATCTCACGGCGCTAGTCCCTCCCCGGCACTATCGAATTGTCTGAGCTTCAATCTGCGCCGGAAATGTCAACCGGCACGTGGTTGAGTGACAGCAAAGAAATGCAAAACCTTCACATCCCGACGCCAGAGTCGACCCCAACCGAACATCGCCCCGGCCCAGGGAGATTCGTATGACCGTATGACCGTATGATCCGTATGATCCGTATGATCCGTATGATCCGTATGACCTGGGCTGAGGCGTCAATGCCAGGCTTGCCGAGTCATACAAATCATACGGATCATACGGATCATACGGATCATACGGATCATACGGATCATACGGATCATACGGATCATACGGATCATACGGATCATACGGATCATACGGATCATACGGATCATACGGTCATACGGTCACGGCCCGGCACTCCGGAGGTCCCAACCAGGTATCCTGCCTGGCATCGAAGCCTCGACACCTGCCTGACATTGAAGCCTCCCGCCATGCCGATAAACACGTAAAAACGGGCGAGCCAGTATCAAACGACGTTGGGTGAGCCAGTACTAAGGGCCGTTGGGCAAACCAGTACTAAGAGCCCGTTGGGCGAATCAGTACTATGGGTCGTTGGGCGAATCCGTACTAAGAGCTCGTTGGGCAAGTCAGTACTAAGGGCCGTTGGGCAAGTCAGTACTAAGGGCCGTTGGGGCGAGTCAGCACTAAGGGCCGTTGGGCGAACCCGTACTAAGGGTCGTTGGGCGAACCCGTACTAAGTGCCGTTGGGCGAACCCGTACTAAGGGACCGTTGGGCGAGTCAGTACTAAGGGTCGTTGGGCAAAGCCGTACTATCCTACGTGCCCGCTCGGCACCGTGCCCGCTCGGCACCCCCTAAGTGCCCGCTCGGCACTGTGCCTGCTCGGCACCCCCTAAGTGCCCGCTCGGCACTGCCTACTCCTAATCTAGAGTGCCCGCTCGGCACGTTTACCTAAAGTGCCCGCTCGGCACTCCTAAGTGCCTGCTCGGCACTGCGCCTGCTCGGCACTCCTAAGTGCCCGCTCGGCACGTCTAGGTGCCCGCTCGGCACCTCCCGCCCCACCCCCCTCTCCCCAGGTCCCGACCGCTGTTTTCACAGCAGAGCGGCTCGACGTCGCCTCGCTCACACCTGTCCATCCTGCGCCGGTGGCATGTCAAGAGAGTACATGCTGACAAAAAAACTCACAACAAAACAGGAGCCTCACGCAGGTCCAGTTCATGAGGAGCATCACTCCCCCTGGGGCAAACTGTGGATTACGTGCAAAAAAATGCAAACACTGTGTCATGACATGAGCGGCCTTGCTGTAGATCGGGGGCTCGTGCTTCGGCTTTGGAGCCGGCTCCACCTGTCAATCAAAGTGAGCAATTGCGGGGTCCTACAACAAACCAATAGGGCCTTGGGGCGTTTGCTGGCTGGGATCAAAGCCTGTCAGGAAACAAGATCAACATGCTCAAGGCCCAGCATCTCTCCCAACCTCGAGATTCGCGACCTGGGCCCTGAGCTGCATGTTGTCCCGATGCAACGGCCCGTGATCAGGTCACGCATGAAAAAAACAATCAGCACCTGCGCGCTCCTGGTATGAAGCCGTCCACCTCCGCTCCGCGGCCAGCTCCGTGCAAAACCTGGTGTTCTCCTGAACCTGGCAAAAAAGGAAGTGCATACAAAAAAAAAGAAGCCCCCCCTGACCTTCTCGTAGAGTTGCTTCTCAAGGGCATCCTGCCGTGGCAGAGCAAGAACAAGAGAGTTGACAAGCCGGCCACAGCTCCTTCTCCGCCTTCACCACCTTCAGCTCCTCCTCCAGCTTCTTGATCAAAACGTCCTGCGGTCAAGTGTAAGCAAACCTCATCAACCCGCTCCGCTAAATCTTGCCTTCACCGCCAGCTCCTTGCGCACGTCGTCCTGCAGCCAGGAGCGTGCACGCTAACGACAACACCGAGTCTCTCCTTCCAGGAGTTGAAGTTCTTCTCCCTCCTGATCTTCGAAGGTGGCCTTCAAGTGGCGAGATGATGCAAACGCTTGAAAAAAAAGCAGGCCTATGAGGCACCCTCCAGGAGCCTCTCCATGCGTCCTCGCAACAAAATGCATGTGATGCCCCACGAACTCAACGAGCAGTCTCCTGAGGGACCGCCCACCCGGCAGAGCTGCCGGCGCCGTCCCACTCCTCCTGACGTGGAAAAAAAAGGGAAAAAAACGAGGGCAAATCGGGCCTGATGCGGCCCCCAGCACTCCTCCTGACGTGGAAAAAAAGGGGAAAAAACGAGGGCAAATCGGGCCTGATGCGGCCCCCAGTACTCCTCCTGACGTGGAAAAAAAAAGGAAAAAAAAACGAGGGCAAATCGGGCCTGGTGCGGCTCCCGCCAGCACTCCTCCTGACGTGGAAAAAAAAAGGAAAAAAAAAAACGAGGGCAAATCGAGCCTGGTGCGGCTCCCATTGCCCCCAGCGCTCCTCCTGACA